GCGGTACTCTATGGGGCTGCACACAGCGCTGCACTGCAGTGGCACTCTGCAGCAGTACTCCACGGGGCTGCACACAGCGCTGCACTGCAGTGGCACTCTGCAGCAGTACTCCACGGGGCTGCACACAGCGCTGCACTGCAGTGGCACTCTGCAGCAGTACTCCACGGGGCTGCACACAGCGCTGCACTGCAGTGGCACTCTGCAGCAGTACTCCACGGGGCTGCACACAGCGCTGCACTGCAGTGGCACTCTGCAGCAGTACTCCACGGGGCTGCACACAGCGCTGCACTGCAGTGGTACTCTGCAGAGGTACGCCATGGGGCTGCACTGCAGTGGCACTCTGCAGCAGTACTCCACAGATTCCACGCTAGGACTCTGCAGCGGGGCTGCAGGTGCTAGACGATGGGGTACAGTGCACTGTACAGTGGTATACACAACTCTGCTTTCCAAAGCTCCTCCCCAGAAGCAGCTAGGCACTCTGGCTATGATGCCAGCAAATCTGGGCTGAGAGCTTCCTTCTGCCTGGCTCTGGTGTAAGAATCTCACCTGCATCAACTCTGATCCTCATAGCAACCCTGTAAGTCTGAGCCAGGTATCACCCCATTTTATAAAGGAGGAAACTAAGCCACAGAGAGGCAGTCACTTGTCCAAGATCCCACGCATTGTAAGCAGCGAGGGAGGCTCTAACCTGGGCATCTAGCTCACATCCTGGACTCTCACTGGTGCCACAGGAACCCTCTGGGCAGATAGGGCAGCCTGCACTGGGGAGCCTGGCCAACCATCCCCACCACTTCCTCTCGCTTCAGATCCACCTGAGCTTTACAACCAGCCACACAATCTTGGAGCGAGGCAGAGGCTGGAGGACAGCGAGTCTAACACCTGAGGCTCTCTGCCTCCAGATGGATTTCAGAAGACCAGAGAGTGGGGAGGTTTGTAAAAGGCCCTGGCCTCTGGCTGCCAGGACTGTCGCAGGAGGCTGCCAGGTCGACCAGCATTCACTCTTTTTTCTTTCTTTTTTGAGAGGTTTTTGCTATAGGGTGCATGCTCTTGCCAGAATGACAGAGAGAGAGAGAGAGAGAGAGAGAGAGAGACAGACAGACACAAAGAGAGAAAACACCCCCCCCACAGTCTCTTCTC